TTCCTGGAATCAGCCACTGATCAGTTTCAGCAGCGGCTGAATCTGGACGCCAGTTCCGACTTACATACAGATTCAACTTAAGAACAAACCTACAGTCCCTATCTTGTACGTAACCCGGGGACTGCCTGTATTCTGCAACTATAAAGCAAGGATAAATAATGCTTCCTTTCTCCCAAAACCTTCTCTCCCCCCCCCTTAAACTGTAAGGTATTTGGACTGATCAGTTTCAGCAGCGGCTGAATCTGGACGCCAGTTCCGACTTACATACAGATTCAACTTAAGAACAAACCTACAGTCCCTATCTTGTACGTAACCCGGGGACTGCCTGTATTCTGCAACTATAAAGCAAGGATAAATAATGCTTCCTTTCTCCCAAAACCTTCTCTCCCCCCCCCTTAAACTGTAAGGTATTTGGGATATAAACTGTTTCTTAATATATGTATACGCAGTATCTATTAAAATGGCCCTGATCTTGTCTGGGACCTCACTGTGCTATGCATAATAATACAGTTCGGATCTCCCTGGTCCAGGGAAGGTCACAGCTCCCTTGCTAGCTGCCCTGCTGATGGCTCCTCCCCCTAGGGCTCTCAAGACTGGGGTTAGGGTTAGGATTGGGGCTCCTTGCCCTGCTACTGCCCGGCTATAGATGGCCTGGCTGAGGCTCCTCATCCTGCTGCCTGCTGGCTGTGCCGGGGGGTTCCCAGGGGTTTCCCAGCCAGGGCTGCCTGGACACCATTAGCTCCGCTATCTTTAGCAGTTCCTTGGCGTTTCCCAGCCCTGGGCCACCTGGCTGCCGCAGGCCCTGCTGCCACCAAGGGTTTCCCAGGCCACCGCTGCCCCTGCTGCCAGGAGCTCTCTGGCTGCTTGACACCAATGACACCGGGGGTTCCCCAGTTGGGGTGGAGGCTCTTTGATGCTGCCTGACCCCGCTACTGGGGTTCCAGAGCTGCCACCTGGCACCACTGCCACCAGGGGTTTCCTGGTCAGGGCTGCGCGGCCATCCCAGCCCTGCTGCTGCCAGGGGGTTCCTTGAGTTCCCTGGCTGTCACCAGCCCCACTGCCAGAGACTCTCCAGCTGCCTGGGCCTGCTGACACCATGGTTCCCCTGCCTAGTTGCTGCTGGCCCAGCCAGGACTTCAGAAACTGCATGTTCTATTGGCTGGCTCCCACTTCTGGGACTCTTTGGTCCAGCAACATCCATACGAGACTATGGATGTTGCCAGACCAGAGTCCCGGATTTGGGAGGTTCAACCTGTAATAACAAGAGGTCATTAAAATTATCTGAAAACTACTCTTAACATGTTTGGAGACTCTAAACTCATATTTCAAAAGTGAGTCAATGTTAGGGATGTAAAAACCATCCAGAACAATTAATGGGTTAAACAAACTGTTTAACTAGTTAACCACCAGCTGTGGGCAGCAAAGGCTGCTTACCAGTTAATCTTTAACATCCCTAGACTCAAAATCTTTTCCAAATTGTACCTTTCAAAAATAATTTTCTTCAAGTGTCTCAATAGGATACACTCTTCAGATGTGGAACACAACTCTTTCCATCCTATTTAAGTCCAGGTTATACAGACTTCATAATGAAGTAAGTACAGTAACTAAAATCAATAGTGGATGCTGTTTTCAGAGAAAACAGATGAAAGATGTTTAATCTTCTGTATGCCCGTGCAAGATCAATGAAACAACGTTCAATACCTTTAAAAGTAGTTATCTACATCACTCTCCCTTGCTCTAATCCTTAAAATAGACCATTAAATTAACAAAATATTGAAAAGATAATTAACACAGAAAATAAAGCAATATGTGATAATAGTTGGTTACAAGAGTTCCTAATTAGGGTTGCCAGGTGTCTGGTATTGGCTGGCCTCTGTCATTATATATATCTCACACACACACACACACACACACCCCATGTAATATGTCCAGTATTTTCTGTTTGTCTTGGATGGAAGGCCGCTTGGGACATACCTCCCCTACTGCGTCTGGTGGTGGCAGAGAGGAGTGTGGAGCGCTGGATTTAAAGGCGCAGTGACCCTTTTTTTTGCTCAACAAGTTTGGTCCCCTGGGGTTCCCCTCCCCCACAACAAGTTTGGTCCTTTTTTTTTTGCTCAGCCAATTTTCCCCCCCACCATGTTCGGTATTTTTTGGGAGAGTATTTGACAACCCTATTCCTAATGACATATCAGAAAACACTGGGCCAGATCAGAGCTTAGTTATCAACAACACTTCTGTACAATCCCATATGTAACAATCAGTGTGAAATATTTCTTTTGAACCTATTTGAGTTTATAGAAAAATTGGTCCATCTTAACATACGTTCTGAAAAAGCAACTACAGCTACAAAATTAAGGAGCTCCACTGCTGGAAGTTATGGGGGATTTCAGCACACAAAGGTCTTGTAGGATCAGGCCCAAAATTTGAGAAATGGGATCCTTTGCACAAACACTCACCATTCCCCTTCCTGCTGCCACATCCTGCCCTGCATGCAGGCAGTTTAAGAATAATTTTCACTGGCATTAAACAGGAGCTATTAATATCTTGCATAGCTGAACTGGACTGATGACTTGCAGATATAATTCTGATTAATGCAGCAGGTACTCAGGAAATGTTTGAAACAAGAAAATGTATTTCTTCTTCCTCTCAATGATACGTAATCAATTTTTCCCAATAGTCTAAATATCTAACGTTTTCCAGAGGACTAAGGGAAAAATCGGTTTGTTCTAGATAATTTTGGACTATCAAACTGAATCTATCAGCGAAACAAACACAGTCTCATACATATGGATAGGCTATACGAACCTTTTCTCTCAGTAAAAATAATAGATTCTAAAGTGCTGGTACAGGTTGAACCTCCCCAGTCTGGCACCCTCAGGACCTGAGTGATCCCAAAGAACAGGGGAGGTCACTTCTGTCCCCCTGCAACTGGCCCCCAACCCCAGCTCTGCTCCTAGTCTGGCCTCCTGGCGGGTTCC